GAACCTGAGTTAAAATTTGGGAATTTGTTGCCCATTATGCAGACCTTATTATTCACGATACCCGCCATCTTTTCACGCGCTTAAGGACTAATGGGGTAGAAGCAATGCCACGTGGTTTCTCAGGGGGCAAACAAAGAAAAATGTCAATGCAGGAAGTCGTGGTCGAGTTTGTTTATTCTAGACAAAAGAAAATGAAGAACTTCTTTTTATCTTAATCCCACCGATCCTAAAGCGCATGCAAAGATGGTGGGTATCGCGAATAAGGCCTATTGCACCGACTTCTTTCCAAATATTTGAGAACTCCACTCCCCACTGGCGTCACTAGCTGTCTCTTCTTCGTGAGGGCAGAAGGTCGTCAGTTCTTGGTGCCACACGGGTGGTACCCTCGCACAGTCTTGAAAAGTCCTTAAATTTCTTTGCTACTCCATGAAAAGTCCTTGAAATTTCTTCAACTTTGATGTAGCAGCCTGGAAGCTGTTTTTTTTTATTCTTTTGGGTTGTCGAAGACAGATTGTAAATCATAGCCCAGAGAAGTTATAGATGATTAACATAAAGTGTTTTGGAAAAAAGTAAACTGAACAACGTAAAGAAACTGGGGAAGCAAACAGTTCAAGTCCCGTTAGCTTGGACTGGGAATGTGTTTATGTACAAATCTGTGATTTACATTCCTGGAAGGTGGTCCTTGAAAGTCGAACGTGGTCCTTGAAAAGTCCTAGAAAAGTCTTTAATGACTGCAATTTTCTGTATGAACTCTGCCAAGGCCTCTTGATCAATAAATTACCAAAGCAATCTCGAAATTAATGTAAAAGCCGTTTAATTTTTATTGTAGTTACTATTTACCGTTTATTTGTTAGGTCAAAGTGGGTGACAAGGAAGTTGACGTTATGGATGGCTTCCGGTTGTACGTCACAACTAAGCTTGGTAACCCTTCCTACACTCCTGAAGTAAGTGCCAAGACTTCCATAATCGACTTCACCGTAACAATGAGCGGCCTGGAAGATCAACTACTAGGAAGAGTAATCTTAACAGAGAAGCAGGTAACATGTCTGTTTTTGCGTCGAAAATACAGGAATTAATGCAGAAACTTTCAATGTTAAAAGTCATGTGACTAGTAATTACTTTACAATCTTGCGTCGCTGATTGACAAGTAGTAAGATAAATCGACGGTCGATAAGCGACCAGGATTCCTAATATAAAAAGCATAAGGCTGTATTTAGCATATAAATATTTTTGTTTGCATTTTTTGAATGAATGCTCTTTCACAGCGGGCATTATTTTGAGATCAAGCATAGATTGTTGGCTAGTGACATTTTGTACGGATGAAATGTTATCGTATGAAATGTGCATCGCTCCTAGTTCTAGGCGTTGTAGGGGAGCGGGGTTTTCGCAAAAACAAAATCTCAGCATTAATGAATTAAACATACTAGTTCACCAGAGCTTAAAATATACTCTGATCTCAGATTATCAACTTCAAATTCAGTGCCGCTGTTTATTTAAGCTAGTTTTCGTTGTTTAGGAATTAGAGGCTGAGCGCACCAAGTTGATGGAAGAAGTGACTGCAAACAAACGAAAAATGAAAGACTTGGAAGACAACCTGTTGTACAGACTGACTAGTACCCAGGGCTCTCTCGTCGAAGATGAGTCATTGATCCAGGTTCTCAGCGTAACCAAGACAACATCAGAGGAAGTCAGTGAAAAGCTATTGGTTGCCGCAGAAACGGAATTAAAGATCAACACTGCTCGAGAAGAGTATCGACCCGGTTAGTACAGAATTGTCAGAGCTATGTATTCAGTCAGATACAGAGAGCGTTTTCACATGACCTGACGGCGGCCATGTTGGTGTTCCAATTCAATCCTGTGGGAGTTGAGCACTTTTCTTATGTAAACGCTTTCTTTTGTTCCAATAAATTTGCAAAGATGCTGGCCACGTCAGTGAAAACGCTCTATTCCTCCAGTGCTACCATTTTCATATCATTTTCTTGTACTCTCTGTATATGTTAGTCTGCTACACAGCCGTTTTTAGGGTCGTCACGAAACGCTCCTCCCCACTGGGAGGAGCGTTGCGTGACGACGCTAAAGACGGCCGTGTAGCAGACTATGTACATGTAGGAAAATTGCTGTTTCCTTTTTCCTCTCGTTTAGCAGTAAGCTAATCTTAAATTTTCCTCTCTCCCCATTCCAGTGGCCACACGAGGTAGCATCCTGTATTTCCTGATTGTCGAGATGTCCTACGTGAACGTTATGTACCAGACCTCTCTGAGACAGTTCCTGGGCTTGTTTGACATTTCCATGGCACGCTCTCAAAAGTCGCCAATTCCCGCCAAGCGAATCCAGAACATCATTGAGTATCTTACGTTTGAAGTGTTTCGATACACGACCCGTGGTTTGTACGAGGAACACAAGTTTTTGTTTACTCTTTTGCTCACTTTGAAGATTGACCTGTTGGAGAAGAAGATTCGCCATGAAGAATTTCAAGTTCTTATCAAAGGTAAGTAGGTTTACCTAAGTAAACTCTTGTCTTTGAAGCTTTTTACATGTGCTCTGTTTTCTAATTGTCTGCTTCTATTAAACAATTGGTGGATAAGGTTTTTGTGATATCCGGAATAATCAAGGTCGAGGTAAGTGTTACGAGGCTGATAACACTTACCGAGACCTTGATTATTTAGGATATCACAAAAACCGAATCTAATAATTGTTTTATTATACAATGTTTCGAAGAAAGTAACGACAAACACTCCGTCGCAAGGAACCAGAATTGATACAATTGTTATTGGAAATCATACATTGCTCCTGCATCCTACAGATTAGTCAGTTATCTGCTAGCAGATAACTAACTAATCTGTTGGTTGCACTGATTTCTAAAATTAGCTGTAGGCTGTTAGCAATTGAGAAGGGAGATAGTGAGTACAATGTATAATAATACAAATTCTTTGCGGCGTCTTTTGTAATTAGACTACGAGTAGTCCCCCATTTTTCCTCAGGGATAGTAGAGCAAGCGAAACGCGAGCGCGCGTGAAAATCTCCCCACGCGAGGAAAGGCGCCTTTTCTCGCGTGGGGTGAATTTCACGCGCGCTCGCGTTTCGCTCGCTCTACTATCCCTGAGGAAAAATGGGGGACTACTCGTAGTCTATTTGTAATCGTGGTGTAACACAGTCTTTCGCCGGAAAATTAGCATTGGAAATCCGAGAATTAAGTAAGCAAGACTTGAGTTCAAGAAACAAACGTAAAAATTCATAGGAAAAAAGTAAGATTTCACATGTAAAAAACTGCAAAATAGAGATGATAGAAATTCGGTATGATCAGACCTTAAAAACTTCTGCCGGTGATAAAATCATCAATTCCATTGTTTCGGAATGAAATGAAACTATGCCTCTCTTCCAGTGTGTCAGTCCATACGAAGTTATTAGGGTGTTTTAATATATACGTTTCTGGGAAACTGCCCACCTCCACCTCTCCTAAGCCAACATTAACACTTCTCACTTAGGGCAAAATGTTGGCTTACGGGAAGGATGGGTGGGCAGTTTCCCAGAAACGTATAATGACTCTTTTTATCGTACTTTAAACTTTAAAGATGATCAACGTAGTGCGAATAGAGGGATGAGAAAGAAACTAACAGCGAACGCTCGAGTCATCTTGAATCGCTTGCTGGCTTTCAGTCGAATAATAAAGACAGTCTTCCTCTTATTCTTTTCCTTTTTCTCCTGTTTTTGTTTTACAGGTGGAGCCGCGTTAGATTTGAATGCTGTGGAACCTAAGCCAAAGAAGTGGATCCTTGATATGACCTGGTTGAACCTGGTAGAGCTTAGCAAACTTCCTCAATTCACCCAGCTTCTTGGACAGGTTTGCTTTTGAATATTCATTCGTTCATTTGTTTTAACACTCATCTATTGTTTGCTTGTTTCGGCATTTTGAATACAAAACGAGCGGCGACGGCGGCGGAAACGTCACAGGCTTAAAGTGATTTGAATAATTAAGACCCTGTGCAATTTTGAAGATAACGAATGGTTGTCGTGTGGTTACGTAGGCTCTGTTACCAGCCGCACCCAAGATAGGACTCAGGAGAGTGGCGGAAATCAAACCTTGTTCCCAGGATTCTCTCCTACCCGAAGGGCGGGTGAGAGAGAACCCTGGGAACGAGGATGGCGGAAATCAAGCCTAGAGGCCATAAAACCGTAACGTCACATCAAGGAATTTCACGTCATAGTCGTAGGTTGACGGAAAAGAAATAATCCCAAAATTGTGACGCACTTGTGGTCCTTATGCTTCCGTCGTGGAAATAAGTAAGGGTTAAGAATAATGCTTTAGTTCTCAACATGTCACAACACACCGATCTGTTTTACAATGTAGCACATAATACCTTGGTTTTATTGTTTTTTGTGATAATATTTTATAGGTTGCAAACAACGAGTCTGGTAAAGCTTGGAAGACTTGGTTTGACTCTGAAGCACCAGAAGACACTCCCATTCCAGATGGTTACCAGGGCTCTCTCGACACTTTCAGAAAGTTGCTTCTTATCAGGGCCTGGTGTCCAGATCGTACCATCAATCAAGCCCGACGTTATATCACTGATGCCATTGGAAAAGAGGTAAAGCACTGGGTAGTGTTCATACAGAATTATATTTATAAATTCTATTTACACTGTAACGACAAAGATACAAGAGGCGAGATCGTTGGATCTGTGTCAAGTAAAATTTGATTTTCTTTTATATGTTACTGGTCTGATATTGTCCCACAGTCGAAAACTGAGGGAGCTAAGTAACATGCGAATTTTCATGTGTTTTTTTGCAGTATGCAGAAGGCGTAATTCTGAATCTGGAAGCCATGTGGGAGGAAAGTGACGTCCGAACGCCAATGATTTGTTTCTTGTCAATGGGTTCTGATCCTACTGCTTCCATCGAGGCTTTGGCAAAGAAACAGAGACTAGGTAAACATTCTTTCCACATAGTGTTAATAAACCACTATTTTCCTTTTAAATCATACCTACCAGTCAACTTAAAATACTCTGAACTGGCTATAAAGAAGGGAAAGCAATGGGCTGTTTTATGCACGCTTCTTTGAATGTGAATTCAGTCAAATGCTCGTATCGGCTACGAGGCGTGCTTATTTATCAAATACCCTACTGTTGATGGCTCAGATACGTGTGTTCAAACGTGGTAAAGTGCTTTTCATTTCAGTTAAAATATAATGCCTGCTCTTGTTGACGCCGTCAAAAACAATTTTGATTATCAGAAAGATTTTTTGTGATATTGAGGATAGGGCTCATCTCCGGTGTAATATTTAACAATTATTCCTCGAGCCTAAATGGGCTCTGAGTCAATAGCCCATGAGGCCGAAGGCCGAATGGGCTATTGACTCAGAGGCCATGAAGACGAGAGGAATAATTGTTTTAATACAATCCAACTAGCTGTTCAAAAATATCGAGACAAAACAACTTTAGAAGTAAAAAAATAAAAATAGACTTTTAAATCCTTTTTTGCTGCGAAAAAGCCGGCGCTTTTCGCTACTAGTGTGCTATAACATAGCCTAGTAGTAGCTCAACCAATCAGAACGCAGCATTTATAATAGACCACTAGCTGGATTTTACTAAAATTTATTACTCTCAGCTGACGTAAAACGAAGACAACAAGAGATCCTTAACAATNTGCTCGTATCGGCTACGAGGCGTGCTTATTTATCAAATACCCTACTGTTGATGGCTCAGATACGTGTGTTCAAACGTGGTAAAGTGCTTTTCATTTCAGTTAAAATATAATGCCTGCTCTTGTTGACGCCGTCAAAAACAATTTTGATTATCAGAAAGATTTTTTGTGATATTGAGGATAGGGCTCATCTCCGGTGTAATATTTAACAATTATTCCTCGAGCCTAAATGGGCTCTGAGTCAATAGCCCATGAGGCCGAAGGCCGAATGGGCTATTGACTCAGAGGCCATGAAGACGAGAGGAATAATTGTTTTAATACAATCCAACTAGCTGTTCAAAAATATCGAGACAAAACAACTTTAGAAGTAAAAAAATAAAAATAGACTTTTAAATCCTTTTTTGCTGCGAAAAAGCCGGCGCTTTTCGCTACTAGTGGGCTATAACATAGCCTAGTAGTAGCTCAACCAATCAGAACGCAGCATTTATAATAGACCACTAGCTGGATTTTACTAAAATTTATTACTCTCAGCTGACGTAAAACGAAGACAACAAGAGATCCTTAACAATGAACCTAACCCTGAAAATAGTCCATAAAACAAAGAAAACGAATAAATTATATTACACCGAAGATGACCCCATGATAGTTAAGGTTGAGAGGTTGTTGCTTTTTTTTCCTCGGCTGAAAACCAATTCTAACGATTGTTTTATTATATTTT